TTAGATGGGAAGTTCATTCAATAGCGCAATATTCGAAGATCGTATACAAGTTGGTTTAGTTGGATGGGCACAAAAAGCAAAAAAGAACAATAAGAAGGGATCAGTGAGTAACCATAAAGAATCACCTCTTCACAAGAAAGTTGAGATGACTGAAATCCAAGTGCAGGAACCTCCTAAAGACAAGGGAAAATCCCCTGAAATCGAGCCTGCTACATAATTTCATTATTACAAGTGTGTTTCTTTTAATGTTGTTTTATGTCACATTCCTGTATAATAATTGATTTACTTTTATGTTTCATCTTGTTTCCAAGAGACAAAAAAAAAACTGTATTTGAGTGATTCTGTATGAAATTAATGTCAATTACTATTCAGTATTCAAGAACAAGTAGCTATCATTACACAAGCAAGGCTTCGATAAAATTAACCAAAATCGCAGTCGAGATTTATGAAGAATTTAAGAGCACATACACACTTAGAGTCAGAATTTGGAACTAGGTAGAGATCGTAGAATAATTAAATAATTCACCAGCTACTTAATTGCTTATGGAGCTTGGAATTCTGAGACGACTTGCCACCTTTGTCCTTGTAAGAATTTCTAGAGGTGACAACTCTCCTCCTCCCATGAGCCGCTTTAATAGCCTTTTGTCGTTGTTTCGTCAGACTCTTTAAAAGTTCAGGGTCATCTTCTTCTTCGTCTTCTTCAGAATCATCCTCAGCCTCAGCTTGTTTATCATTACCCTCGAGATTATTTTCAGTTTGGTCGGCTTCTTTGGAGGCATCTTCAACAAGATTATCTTCTCCCTGCAAAAGCAAATTTTTTTTCTTTAACAATTAATGAAATTAAAATATTAAATAAATCACAGAACCAGAGATAATAGCACAGCTAATCTGTGTATGAGTTTTCGAGGCAAAGCATAAATAAGGAAAAAAAATGTCAGCTAGGCTACAACTAAAACTGAAAACATGTAAAATTTACCTCTTTAACCAAGCTCAAGGACTCGAGATTTACTACGCTTGTATCATTTATCTGATCAACGGTATCTTCTTCGTCTTCAGCTTCTTCACCATCAGATTCTGAATCTTTCTCTACATCTCCATCGACAAACTGTGTAATAGAGATTAGAAAGAGAAGCCATTTCAGATGACTCAACACCAAATACCACGAAACATGTCTAAGAGTACCAGAATAAACTACTTAGTACTTCTACCACTCCAATGCAGAGTAATGCAAGTTATGCAGTCACAACATCATATATACTTCACAACAAATAAAAATACTGGAAAAAAGACTTCAGGAAACATGTTTTTTTTTTATTTAGCACAGTACTGGAATATGATTCCAGATATTTGACAGAGGAAAAGCTAAAGTTGAACCTTCTCTATAACTTCTTGATCCTTTCTAGTGAAACCACTTGCTTCAAGTTCCTTGTCCAGACAACCAGAAACTTTCTGTATGTCCACAAACTGAGGCCGGCATTCATCTGAATCTGAATCTACTTCTGCATCGTCATGTTCAGCTTCATTTTCATCAAACGAGAGGTTAAACCTAATAAAAATACCAAGATGAAGCCCATGTCAGCATCGTAGTTATATATCACGAACATGGCAGCAAGTAACGAATAGGAATAATAACCAAGATGAATACTACAACTGAAAATTGGATTTCAATTCATAATTCAGAGAGTCGAGAAACCAGAAATTTTGGGATTTTTCATTGAAATTTAATACAAGGGTAATTTGTTGAACTTCCAAAAGTTGTTGAACAACATCAACATAAAGATTGCACTAGTATCTGAAAACATACCTCTTTTTAAAGAACTTAAAGATACATTCAATGTCACGGTCAAAGTACCTGAAAACATGGAAATTAGTATCAAAAGAAGATACAAGTCATCCTAGTGTTAGCATGGACAATGAGTTAAAAGGAGTTAGGGAGAAGTTGGTCAACACATCATACATCTTTGCATTTCGATGAGAAACTGAAACCATTTGCGGAAAATCAATCATTGTGACCTTCTCATCATCATCAATCTACAAGTAAAATAAAGTAGATTCACAGAGCATAAAAATTGGTATAGAACATGATAAATCGTTAATTGCAACAGAGAATTTTTACCCAGCAAGATATAACAGGTTTGGTGAATCAACAATGTTACAAATGTTGAGAAAACAAAGAATGGCATACCATAATGTTAAACTCATTGAAATCGCAGTGAATGAGTCCATGCTCTGCCAGGCGAACAACAAGACCGAGGATCGTATCAAAAATTGTGTCTGGATTTTGCAATTCCCTAACCTGCACACTGCTCAAAACGGAATGATCTTACACAGTTGTAGCGATTTGGAAAGTGTTGGGAATAAAGCAATGATTCAAGCTCGCTTGGAGAGGGATCAGCTAGGAGGGAGAAATCCCATAATTAAAGTAAATTAAAAGCAGCCAATATCAATCTTGCACTTGGCAAAGAGGAGATCTTATACTTACAGTGGATATCCTTGGATAAGTGACATTATAACACAATGCCGATTGCAATCCACTGCATTTGGGACAGGAAAACCATGTTCACCCAAAGCCTGGCAAAGAAGAAGCCAAGAGTTTCAAAACTAACTTGATGCCAATGGCAGCACATGTTTTCTTCGAATAATGCAAATCAGTCGAAATTAAGAAATATTTAGAGTATCCAAACCTTCATAAAGGCAAATTCTTTGAGCGCTGCAAGCCGAGACAAGTACAGCCAGCTGAAGCTACTGCGGTGCCTCAAGTAATCACGTTTTGATTTGACTGCCCTAAAAGATGTCCTACCAAGTCTGTGTAACTTCATTGCAAGAACTGTACCATCTTCTGTGGCAACCTCAAATATATCTTGAAAACAGAGAAGTATATGTCAACAACAAGTTGTGGATTGACTGGATACCAAAACCATGACATAATAAATGTATTTATGTATTTATACCAGACTCCTTTCCAACACCAATCTGACGACCAACGGCAGTGAAAACTCCTCGGTTGACCAATGTCTTAATTGCAAGAAAATCATAGCCCAAATATGTCAACCGAAGACCATCATCTACATGAAAAATACATGGCATTCAGAATTCCATTACATAGTATAAAAGAAGTGTAAAATGCCAAAGTTCCACAAAATTAAATCTGAAAATACAGTACTCCAACAAAAGTTAGAGGAAAAGATACCTTCAAGCAAAATAGTACACTGTGATAATGGAAGCAACTAAAGAAAATCAGAATAAGAGTATATAACTAACATTTGGAAGCATCGTGGTGCACGAGCTTGTGCTTAAGCAGATTCTTCAAAACTTTATATGTGCCGCCATGCCTAATTTTGAATATAAACAACAGAGTATAAATAAATGAATAAGAACTAGCATTGATCAACTATGAACGGAAACTAAAAATAAACTCACTTGAGGGAAGCGATTCGGTCAATCAACTCCGACGGTACAATTTCGTGCTAAACTCGTCAAAATTACATGAAAATTTTGATTAATTAATTAATTAAGTAAGGAAGTAGGGTTTTAATTGGTAAAAAAAGAAAAAATAAAACTGGCAAAGAGGAGAGAAACAAACATTGCGCATGCCCATTTCGACGGCCGTAAGAACCCTAAAGTCATCTCTGGAGAGATATCGCAGAGCATCCACATCCAGCTTCATATTTTTCTCACTACTGACTATTCAGCGAAATAGGATGAAGAAAACAAACAATAGCGGGCTGCAGCGTGCACCGGTGGAGTTTCGGATGCCACTGCGGCGGCGGCGGCGGTGGAGTTTCAGTTAGGAGGAGGTTAGGCCGCGATATTGGGGGAGATGAGGTTTCAGTTCACCGAGTTTGGTTTTGTTATGTTTTGTATTTGGGCCCATTTGATTCGGCCCGATAGAAAAGTAAGGCCCAAATTATAGATGGGCTTTTGAGTACGTGTTGAATATTGTTGGGCCATTTGCTATGATTTTATAAGTTAATTTTTCCAAATCCAATAAAATTTATATAAATTAGTAGTCAATAAATTAATAACTTACATAATTAAATATGGGTAAATTGATGTTGTATGAAAAAAAAGTAAAAATAAATAAATAGCATACGTTAATTTGTGTAATTGGTTCCCAAGGTAAATTGCAAGTTTGTAATGTAAGTCCCTGTATTTTGCTAAATTGCATTTTGCATCCTTAAGTGATGAGTAAACGTCAAAATTGGTCGATCGTCAAGAAAATAATACATTGTTAAAGAATGCAGCCACCTTGTGCTAAAATAATACAAACAATGTATTCATGCAATATAATACAGTGCTGACAAAAATATTAACAAGTCGCATAGAAGAAGGCCCACCACATCGAAAACAAATTTCGGAGCAAATAATCCCCAGACCTGCACCGAAAAATGATTACCGAATAATATTATAGTGTAGCCCCAAGAAGTACTAACACGTTGATGAAAATGCAATAAAAAACGTAAAGTCGGAGGAGGGGGTACCATCAAGTGCCGTCTTTGTATTGCGACACATAGCATTGTGAATGTGGCTGTTAGGGCAGTGATGAATCCGTACATGAGATATACCTGAAGTGACAATAGAAGAAGGTCTGTGTAACTAATTGCTCAGGAGCAAGTGGAGCAGTTAAAAATACGAGTGTTCTAGGTTGATACTTACTTGACATAATCTCAAAGTAAATACTTGTTTGTTCTGCCTTAGCGAATAATAACATGTTACGAGGAATGGAAGTCCGAATATAGGGAGAATGTGAGAGAAACCAAATGTGTCGATGGTTAGAAGGATTGCTTGACGAGTAAGATTGAATTCATCGAACCTGAGATGGATAAAAGTAGTTAGTTCATGTCGA